TCCATCCTACATAACTATGGGACATTATCAAAATAAGCAGCTAATATTGCTGCAAGTGTGTGATGTCATTCCATCATATGAAGCTTTGTTTCACACGTAATGAAAGTCCATCTCCAGGCTACTCCTTACTCTTCCCTATCCTGTCGTTTGTTGCTGCATTAGGAAACAGACACCAATGCCAAGCTCTAACGAAGATGAAGACATTTGACCATTCCACATTGTGAATGTGTACTGGGGTGGAAACCAGGCTCTGTCCTTTCCTGCCTGCGCCAGCTTTGGTGCCTTCTTTGGGCCTTTGTTTCCTCAGGTGAAACTCAGGCTTGTCACCCAGGTTCAGTAACTTACACTTTGTATAAAGAACCTGAAAAGAGACTTGGCATGCTGTCTGTGCTCGGTAGATGGATGTTCACTTTGATAGTCAATAAACTACTGGTAGGACATGGCCTCTGAATGTGTCCTACAAGGCTTCTCAACAGCCACGTCAGCTTGAGTTCATCCCTCATCTTCACAGAGCTCTGGGAAATCTGAGAACCCAAGCTACTCTTTATTTGGAAATCCTAAAATAAGAGCCTCACTATGTAGCCCAGGCTGGCCTTGAACTCACAATCATCCTGCCTTGGCCTTCCAAGTACTGGGATTATAAGTATACACTACTGTAGTAGCAATTATTTAAAGTCCCGGCCAGGAGTTTCTTCCGCACTTTGGTTATTGAGTTCCTAGATGAAAGACACACTCACAGCTTTCATATTTACAATAAGCCCTAAACAGCACAGTAGCTGGGCAGCTGCCTGCCCTCCATGCTGTTAGAATCTACTTTCCTATCGATAACCTGAGTTATCACTTACTATTTACTGTGTTCCATCTGGGCTGCTCTTAGCTCTAATTGGGCAGCCCTCAGGGCCATGCTCGCTTGACCCTTAACCCATGGTGGCTTTTCCTTCCTCTTCTCCTGCACCTTTTTTTTCTCTTGGTCCTCCTCTCCCCCCAAATCCTCAAAGCCTAAACCCCACTTATGCCTCTTCTGTTGGCCCAGCTGTCTTTATTCACCAGTCAGAGTTACCTCGGTGGCAGGGCCACAGGTGCAGACTCCAGGTCTTGGGGGCCCACACTTAACATTACAATAGACAAAACCTCAACAGACACATAGATCTGAAGTTAAGGTTTCTGCAGCCCAGACAGAGCAGAAATGAAGGGATAATGGCTTGCCATCTCTGAAGACTGACAGGAGTCTACTTTTTTTTTTTTTTTTTTGAGACAGGAGACAGGGTTTCTCTGTGTAGCCCGGGCTGTCCTAGAACTCACTCTGTAGACCAGGCTGGCCTCAAACTCAGAAATCCGCCTGCCTCTGCCTCCCAAGTGCTGGGATTAAAGGCGTGTGCTACCACTGCCCAGCAGGATTCTACTTTTATATTGCTACTAAAGGAAATAGGATTTTTCTTTTTATATGTTCTCATGCATCCCTGGGTGGTCTGAACTTGTTGAATAACCTAGGCCAGACTTGAAAACTATAACCCCATGCCAGCTGATCATCTGCCTCCACTTCTCTGTGGCTGCAATTACAAGCAGGGACTACTCCATCTAGTACTGGATCAGCTTCTTGTACCAAGTGAATATCTCAGTTCTTTCACAGTATCAGATAAAGTATGTAAGGACATTGATAATTCTCCAGTAGTAAAACCTGTTCTTGTTACCACGTCAGTAGTTCTGGTCATGTGTTTTAACCAGGATCCTTGGAAAGCACAGGGGAGTCCATTTGCAAAGTCTTGGTGGCAAGCTCTGTTCCCTTTTACTACACCACCATCATGACCTGAAGACTAGCTCAGATCCCAGAGGGAGGGTTTAGAGGAAAGCCAGGGTTTAGTTATTCAGTTACGGTGGTGTGTAGTGGGTTGGCCTGATGCTGCTTGTATTCTAATGTTAATTTGGGCTCCCAAAATTGGTTTCCCCAGAGATGAGTCCACACATAGATGCTAGCTAAGCGATCCAGCTCCAAGTTAATTGTAATTGGTAAATAAAGATGCCAATAGCTAATAGCTGGTAGGAGAGACGTAAGTGGGGTTTAGTCGGTGAAAGGCCTGGGTTGGAGGAGGACCACAAAGAACAGCAACATGCAGGAGAGGAAGGAAGAGAAGCTGACAAGGGTTAAGGGTTGAGAGACATGGCCCTAAGGGCTGCCCAATTAGAGTTAAGAGCAGCCCAGATGGAACACAGTAAATATTAAGTAATAACTCAGGTTATTGATAGGAAAGTAGATTCTAACAGCATGGAGGCCAGGCAGCTGCCCAGCTACTGTGCTGTTTAGGGCTTATTGCAAATATAAAGGCTGTGAGTGTGTCTTTCATCTAGGAACTCAATAACCAAAGTGCGGAAGAAACCTTAGACTAGGATTTAAAATAATTTCCACATCATGTGTACAGTGGTTCTTATGACCACCATTTAAAAGTATACATACTGATACTTCCATGCTGGAGGTAGAGGCAAGAAGATCAGAAATTCAAGATTTTCCTTTATACACAATGGTTGGAGACTACCCTAGACTACCTGAGATCCTATCTCAAACTAAAATTTAAAATCAAATAAAATTAAAAATGGCATTTGTCCTCAACTATCAACAGTTACCAATGACTTGGTAATGAATGGTTAGTAACACTATGATCCCAGATTCTTGAATTTTTACATCTTACAAGTATAAGTTAAACATGTTTGTTTTGGACTGAAAAGCAAGTGAAGACATTTCTAATGATGCCTGGTACAATAGATACCCAATAAAAACTCGGTGATGTCTCCTCATAAAACCAGTTCAGTCATCATTCAAGGGGCAGTAAGACTGTCATACTGTGGTGTTGCTGGTTTTCACTGATACCATAGGAACTTTTCAAGTAAACCAAATGAACTAATTCAAAGTTTCCCTAACATTCAAACTGCTTCCTCCCCTACCTTCCCAAAATGGAATCACCACCTTTTACACACTGTAGACATATGATATGCATAATATCTGATATGTGACCCCAAGGGGGTCTAGATCACTAGTTTTCAAGTAAGGTTGTTTGTTTTACCACGGGGGAGCACTGGAAATGTAGGGGGTGTGTGTTGGCACAAGGGAAGGGTAGAGTGTTCCCTACCTTGTCCTATATAGAAGCGAGGTTGTCATTATACAACCTATAAAGACTAGACAGGAAGAGTCAGCTAGCCTACACCCACAGTAGTGTCAAAGTTGAAAAATAAAACAGAATTCTCCTTTAAACTGAAAATAAAGCTTGTTTCTACAACAGTGAAAATGTCTTTGGAACTAAATCTTGATCTAGTTCTGTAGATGTCGTTAAACTGCCAGCAGTTTGTTAGTCTTGAAACTGTCCCCTTATATAAAGAATAAAGGAAATCTGATGACTATACTTGGAACACTCAAGTGACAAGCTGTTTAATCAATGTTCCCCACAGCAGAGTGTGTCCATCCTAGGGGACCAATGAGATCATGGATTTGGGAGCAGGAAGATGAGATGAAACATAATCTCTGCTCCTAAGTCTCCCAGCGTTAGAAGTTGAGTAGTGTCTTCTTTTAGTCTAGGGGTCATGTGAAGCGTTTGAGAGGACAGCAGCTTCTCTGAAGCTCTTATGATGACTCTTTCTTTATTGACTGCACCCTAAAGACCATTGAGTTGATCGGTCACAACCCACCGGCTTATGTTTATTTTACAAAGTACATTCACAAAGGAACCACACTGATTTCATTACTGGCAGAAATAAAGGCTTTCAATCCTTCACTAAAGTTGTAAAAACCTTCTACAGTCATTTTTTAAAATGTGTACTACAGCGAAACAGCATCACTGAAACCGCTGATATTCTTGCTATTACCGTAACCTATGCATAATTAAAATGATGACATTTACATTGCAACATAAAACATAGCGTGCTGGGTTAAACCCAGGGACTCATGCATGAGGGGCAATCGTTCTATCAAGTGAGCTACATCCCTACCTAGCTCTACATATTATTTTCAAGTCTTATTTAAAAAACAAACAAAAAACCCACTTAATAGAAGCAAGTCAAGCGTTGAGTATTTTGTGAGACCCAGCATCAGATGGCGCTCACGACTACGGAGAGCCAGAGTCCGCCAACAGGCACTCAAAATGCTTGTTCTGCCACCAGGCTATCTTAGTCTCAGGGTCAGGTCACTTTCCCCAAGTCTCATACTTCCTCACTTGTGAGTGTGCGAAGCGACACGAAGGCTTTTCCTCCCTGATCGTCTTTCTGACTACAGTGATTGACTGGGGCTGGGACAGATCGGCCGCTACCGCGGATCTCTGAGAGACTCGAAAGAAGCAGGTTAGTCAAGGGCACCGGTGGCGGTTGCGACTCGGAAGCGTCGTGCCGGACAGATCACTTTCGGTCCCACCCACAGCCACCCGCACTCATCGGGCGGCCCGACAGAAACTCTTTGATCACGTGGTTCCGTCATTACCCTGAGTTCCCGAACTCTCAAAACAAAAAAAATTTACACTTAAAAATATATCAAACTTCAAGGAAGAAAAGGCGGCTCCTGCAGATCCTACGCTAGCGCTGCCAGCACAACACCAGCACAGTGATCTCAGAGCCTCCGGGCTAAAACGAACTCTGCAGCGCGCGACCGAGGGGACCACGTGACACCTCGCGGCCCGCCTCCCAGGGGGCGCAGACGGACGCCCCTCGCTGCGTCACGTGGGCAGTTCCATCCTTGCCATGGCGGGGGGGGGACTTCCCTGGTGCAGATGTGAGAAAAGCTCCATTGTGTCGCGCGTGGTCCTCTCAGGACAAGAAGGACCGCTTGCGGCGCACAGACTGCTGCCCCAGGGGCGCAAGATGGCGGCGGTCCCCTCGGCCGCTTCTCCCCTCCTGCCGGCTTCCTAGTGGTCTCGGCGCTCCGCCCCCGCCCGCCTCCGCCCCGCCCCGCCGGGCTGCTCACGTGACGCCGCGCGCTCCCGCGGGGCGGGCTTCTCGGGGGCGGCGCCGTAGGGACGCAGTGCTAGACGGAGCCTCGCTTGCCGCAGCTTTCCTCCTGGACGCCTGGGCTGAGGACACGATGTCGGGCTCCTACCGCCGACTGCTCTGGGCCGCCACCTGCCTCGCCGCGCTCTGCGTGTCGGCCGCGCAGACTAACAGCAGCAACGTGACCGACACGCCGACCACCACCAGCAAAGTGGTCCCGACGACGCTCACGCCCACCAAGCCGCCAGGTGGGCGCCCGCCACACGGGCCGAGCCGGTGGGGACCCGCGCAACATGGCCGCCCGGCCGGAGTGCGGCGGCCCGACGGGTGGGGAGCGAAGGCTCCGGGCGAGCTAGGCCGCGGGGCTGCTCCGGCTCCCCGAACGTTGCCCGCAGAGGCGCCGTCCCCCAAGCGCCTGGGAACTCCGCGCCGCAGCTCGGGACGGCGACGTGGCTCGCTTCCGCGGTGGCAGTTAGGAGAAACTGGGCGAGGCGACGCACACCGCAGTTGGCGGGGAGCGCAAACTTTGGGCTCCTGGGACAGGCTCTTGTCCTCCCCTCGAGGCTTCGCCGGAGGTTTAGAGTGAAGCAGACGGGGGTGGGTGGACGTAAAGATGAATAGGTTGTCCCTTTCCCGCTCCCACCAGCGAGGCTCTAAGAAACTGAGCCTCCTGTAACTTCACGTTGACTTAGCACAGCGGTGTTGGCTGTACCTGAGATTTGAGTGGTAAGGGAAGAACGAGGCTTGTGGCGGAAGATGAGAAGTGAAACCCAGGGTCATATAAAAGAGCAGGATCTGATCTCCCGGGTGCCTGTGTTTTGAGGGCTGTGGGTTAGATTGAAATCCAGTCTCTCCATTTTTCTGAAATCCGATCAAGGAACACGCCTTTTGTTCAACTCTAGGGTTCGTTAAAGCTTGTCATGTAAGGCATAGGCCGTGACAACGCAAAAGAGACAGAAGATAAATCTGAAGTGATGAGGTGAAAACACGATGTGTTTTAAATTGGTTATTGCACTTAACCTAGTAACTGCGCTTCTCAACCTAAAGATTGACTTAGTCTAGTGCCTTTTCTAGTTTTAGCATTTTATGTGAATAAAACTGTATGTTAATACCCGATTTTTTGTAAGACTCAGAAGGATGCTAGGGTAACAAATATTTTTAAATGAACAAAGTAAATTACAGAACAATTCTGGGAATTTCTATCACGGCTAAGATGATAAAGCAAAATATTTTTTGACTCCTACCTACTTGACAATTTCCTCCCGGACTTGTGATGTGTGGGTTCTTCATATTGTTTTAAGAGAAGCCTGGAAAGACCAAGTTAATTGCCTCTGTATAGTTGAAATCCCCACGGAGGAGATAGCTTGTATTTTCTGGAAATGATGGGATAAGCCGCAGTGTGGAGTGGCATTCCGAGGCTACACCCATTATCAAGCGGAGCCGGTCTTAAGAATTACTTGTGAATGCCTCTTCGTGTCCTGTTTTCAGTAAATACGTGTTGGGATCCAGGGCTTCTGCAGAACTGTTTGTTCAGGCAAGATGAAAGCAAAGAAGAATGTTGCAGGCGACTAGTTTAGAAAAGAAAGGAAGTTAGCTCCATTCTGTAAGTCCATGTCTTTGTCCAGACATAGAATTGGTGGCTAAATTCTTATTTCTGGATTGTTCAGTTTTTGTTTCTCAACTTTCCTAATGCTGCCACCCCTTAATACAGTTCCTCATGGTGTGGCAGCCCCAACCATACGGTTATTTTGTTGCTACTTCATAACTGTAGTTGTGTTACTTGTTTTGAATCATAATGTAAATACCTGATAGGCAGGTGGTCTTAGCAGGTCCCTGTGTAATGCTCGCTGTTCCACCCACCCACACCCCCAGAGGGAGCAGGACTCACTGCTTTAGATTGCTGTCAGGCACAGGTATGAAAGTGGCCCCTTTAGGGGCATTTCCTGGTTGTGGAGAAGACCGTGAAAGTCGAATCACCGATGGAGACAAAATCTCTGAGAAATTAGCTTGTTTCTGTTAGAGTTGAATTTTTCTAAACTTGTACTCAAAAATGTCTTTCTCTGGTGTTTGGGGCTTCTCTGTGTTGGTGTTACTGTGTTTACTGTTTTGCCTTGAGAATCCATGAATTGTCTGACAGTCACTTTCCAGTACTGAGTCTGCCCACTAGCCTGTTTTCCTTAACTTTACTTACAGAGTCGGAGATGATGAATGGAACTTTTCCTTTGTTTTGCTTTTTGAGGCAGAGTCTTACCATGTAGCTCTGGCTGCTGTGGAGCTCCCTCTGTAGGCTAGTCTGGAACTCATCTTCTGCCTCTCCCTCTGAAGTGCTGGGATTAAAGGTGTGCTACGTTGTCCCAGGCTTCACTAACTGTTTCAGTGTTCATGTGTGTACGTGTCTGTGAACACACTTCTGCCACAGCATGCAAGTGGAGGGCAGAAGACAACACTGGCTCTCTCCTTCCACCGTGTGGGTCCAGGAGAGTGAACTCAGGTCTTCAACATTGATTTGCTGGCCCATGCTTGAAATTTCTTAATAAATCAGTTTATAAAGGTTGACCACTTCTGAGTTCGAGGCCAGCCTGGTCTACCGAGTGAGTTCCAGGACAGCCAGGGCTACACAGAGAAACCCTGTCTCAAAAAACCAAAAAAAAAAAAAAAAAAGAAAAGGTTGACCACTTCAAGGGATTATTAATTACTAAAACTATATCTAATGCTCACTGTTGAAAATAGATGTAGAGCAAACTAATGAAGTGTCAGTTCATTGATTTCATAATCTCCCTCCAGAAACGTGTGACAGCTTCAGCAACTGTGTTTCCTGTATTAATGCTGCCATTACTAATAATCTGACCTGCGTTTGGATAGAATGCAAAGAAGGTAAGAAACTGCTCACAGGCTCAACTTCATATTCTTAACTATTCAGAAATTCTGTAGTTAAGGTAGTGTGGAGTATTTATTTTCCAAATTCAGTACTTCTATAGTTTCTTAACATTTTCCTTAGAAATCTCCCTCCTCCCTCCCTTTTGATTTCATAAACTTGACTGTTGAGATATAGTAGCTCTTAAAGGAAGGATTAAAGTTCCTTTGGAAGTGGAGTCGTTTGTTTTGGGAGGTAGACTGTGGGGAGACCTTGTGGAGAGCTGTTGCATGCTTAGCTGAGAGTGAGCAATAAGAAGGAAGAGTTGCTTTCTGTGCTTTTGTGAAGTCAAGTTCGTTCACTTCGCAATAGTTAAAGGCTGTGAGCTCAATGGAAGTCTGTTGAAATACAAGATTTCTCTTAGAATTCTGTTATAACATAGATGCCTTTGTGTCCCTGAAGGTAAGGTACTTGCAGCTTTCTCTGTCTGCAAGACAGTCTGTTAAGGATTCGTTAGGATTTGTTTGGACGTCCCTGGAAGTACAGAAACCATAGTTTTGTTTTTTTCAATAAAAACAGAGCCCCATGTTAAGTTCCTTTACTCAGTGAACTGTTAGAAGTAGCACAGGGTTCAGAGTGCTCGTTAGACTGTTTGTTGGGAGTTACCGTTTTTTGTGGTAGAAGTATGTTAAGCTATGTGGTGGGACTTGAGGTGTGCTCGCTCCCTGCCCATGTGCAATACGCAGGAATCAGGGAGATGCAGGGAGTAGGGTTTCTGTGTGGACCCTCTCCCTATTACCTCTGTTGAAACAACTTGACCACATCTCCTTGTAGATTCTGGCTGGTTAATCTGTTCAGTATACTCAAGTGACTTTCAATTTGTCTCTAAGACAGTGGGAAAGGAATAGCAGCGTTTATTGTTTTTTAGAAAAACAAAAGTCCCACTATGCGCTAAAGCTGGTTTCCGTCTGAGACCTTGAGATCCTTGTGTATCCCTTCCAGAGTGCTAGGGTCATAGGTCATGGTCGTGTACCAGCCCTATTGGGCTTGTTTGTTTTCTTTTAGCACATTCTGGAGCATAGAAGCAAAGCCACAGGTGTAATGTAAGTGGGTAATTGCTCTTTGTCTCTTTTTCATAGCAAATAGGACCTATTGTTCAAGTGAAACAGAAACGAATTGTACCCGGGTGAACCGCACTGACCAGTGTTCTGGTAAGTTTTCACTTGAGCTGCTTGGGAAAATGACTGCATGGGGTGGGTAAGGTTATCACTGCCCTGGATGTTAACATTTAGACACCAGTAGCCTGTTCCTGTTGATAAAGAGGATGACAGTTTAAATCCTGGTTTCATGATTCAGCTGTAAGTCTTTTCATTTCCTGCTTTGTTTTGTTGAGTTGACTGATGTTAGGTTCCTCCCTTCTAAGTGTTACAGCTAAGTAAACCTGTGTCTTTGTACTTGAGGAACGATGGCTTTTACTCTCCGCCCTGAGAAAGCCTCACTGAGACAACTGCTCCTTCCTCATCTCCACCTCGTGGTGTTCATTCTGGCCTTGAATCTTCTGTGTAACTGAAGTCCAGATCCTCCTGCCTCTGTTTCCCAAGTACCAGATTAGGAGTAACCATGACCAGCTGGCTAAGAGTTGTTTCTTCTGATGTTGCTATAAATTAATGGGGAAATCAAACCAGGGACTCAGCCTTTCTGTCATTGTCTTTTGTCATTTCTCAAAAATGGCTTAAACCTTCCCTGTCTAAAGTGAGTATTCATGTTCCAATCATCACATTAGATTTTTCCCCCCCTGCCCGGAAGAAGGGAACGACAACATAAGGCCTGTGTCCGTCTTGTAGCTGTTTGTTAGAAGCTGCATGTGGCTAATTAGCTGTGAGAACACCTAGACATGTCTTAGGGGACGTGAGATGCCACAAAAACTGATGGTTTCGTTTCTTAGGGAGGAAACTGATACTGGGTATGGGTAACTGGCTCACCCAAGAATGATGTCTCGGTTGTAAAACTAAACAAGTCATGTTCTCAGAGTGGGAACTGTTGTTACAGCTTACTTCACACAACTTTCTCTGTCTTTCTCTTTCAGTAGTGCCTCCTCCTACCACTCCAGTGCCAACCAATTCTACAGGTAATGCAAGATGATTTTTTTGTTCCTTGTTCATTGTGGAGATTAAAGACCTGTTGCTAACCTACTAGCTAAGAGATGTTAGTACAGTTTTAAAGCTTAGCAAGGGTTTACTTACTCATGGACCACAGTAGCAGTGTGAATGCATATCCTTTGTGACAATGCAGATAACTCTTTGAATACTTTTTAGTGACTCTCAACAGGTTTACTTAGTTTGTGTGTGGAGCCCTTGAACTACATGTGTGGATGTTTTATATCACAGTTCTCATCACTAAACAGTTTGCCAGAATGATTTCTAGAAATTAATTATTTTGAGTCTTTTTCTGTACATAACTGAGCATGTGTACTCTGTATGGTAATGGATAGTAGTTAGGTGTGTTTGTGTTGTTTTTTTCCTTTTACTGTAAGATGGTGCTATACTTTCTACTTATACTCATGATTGGACAATTAGTTCATCTCACAGATACCGTGAAAGTCTTCAGGGGGGGTAATAGTAAACCGTTTATTCCAGGACAAGAACTAGCACAGATGATGAGCGGCTATAGGGACAGAGATTAGCCAGTATTTGTTGCTATCAGATAGATTAATAAAGTCCGTGAGCACTGTGCATTGGAAACTTGCAGGCTGGTGTGTATTGAGTGGGCAGAAATGGCAGCCTGTGGGAGACACAGGAAAACACGGGGACACCATAACAGACGAAGCAGAGTGGTTCACGCTTACGGAGATGTGAGGGCACAGTGACATAAACGTTAAGCATCTTATACTAGGTGACAGTTTGGTACACTTGATAGTCAAAAGAAAAACTGAGAAGCTCCACTGTATGCCTTGCTCAAGAGACTTAGATGGTATCTAAACTTGTCATATGACCAGACTTCTATTTTAATAAAATGTATTATTATGGCCTGTGCAGAGTAAAAGACCAAAGTGGACTTGAAGTCAGCTATAGTAGAAATGTGTATGCTACAGAAACCTGCATATACTACCAAATATAGCTTAGTGGACTGTTTGTGAAGAATTAACATTCACCTAACTTCAAGAGTGGATAGTGAAACCAAGTATCAAATCTATAGGATTCCCCCCCAATAACATCACATAAAACTAAGATTGAAAAGAAGTTGATAACATATTTAATTTTTAAAGTTAAACCACAAAAAGGAAATAAAAGTGTTTGAATTTCTAAGATCATACCTTCTAATGTAACAATTGTGCCATTCCCTTAGGAGGCATGTGGTCCTTGGGATTCAGGGTGTGTGTGTGTGTGTGTGTGTGTGTGTGTGTGTGTGTGTACAACTTGCTTAGTCCATGTAGTGTTTTTTGTATGTATATGATTCCAGGACTGGCCAGTTAGTATTGGGTGGGGGGGGTCATCAAGGGCTTGGTCCTGGGAAAAAGAGAGATGAGGTAGGCCATAAGAGGACAGCTTTGGAGTCAGTTTTCTCCTTCCATTACCTAGGATCTGGAGATTGAAACTTGTCAGCAGGTTTGCACAGCAAGTGTTTTTGGTGACTGGGCTATTGTATCTTACTAGCCTTCATATCAATCTCAATAAAAGTTTTACCATAGTCTAATGAGAATAAGGTTATCTTAGCTTACTAGGATCCTGTTAACTTTGGAGTGCCAGCAATGCCTTTTGGAGAGTTCTGCATACTCTAGTGACGTTTGTCTTAAAGCCTAATGTTGGCATATAATTACTGTTGAAGAACAGAACTTCCTTTTATGTTAGAACTTGGGGGCTGGCAAGATGGCTCAGAAGATTAAAGTATTTGCCACCAAGTCTGATGACCTGAGTTTAGCCTCTGAGACCCACACGACAGAAGGAACAAACCAGCTACAAGGTGACTTCCACACTTGTGTCGTGCCATCTGTGCACCCATCCATAGATTGAGACACAGTGAACTGCAATTTTAAAAGTTTTGTTTGCTTTTTGAAACAGTGTCTTACTGTATAGGCCTGGATGGTCTGAACTTGATATGTGCTGAGATTAAAGGCATACACCACTACATGTGGCAAATGTTAATTTGTATAAACTTGATTTTCTTTGTAAAACTGGTATAAGAATTTTTGAGTCTACATTTAGTAGTGGATGTTCATAATCAAGTGCTTCATTTTCAGAGGTCATTTTATGTTTGTCTGATAGTTTTGCCTCATACAGAGTGGGAGAGTATATCATCCAAATTGGGCTAGCCTTGGGTGCTAATGCTAATAAGTAAGGTTCCTTGGAACCCAACTGTGCCTGCTTATTTCCTTGTCCTTGACTGATTTTGCGTTACAAAGTATAGTCTACTCTGCCCCTTAACAAAGCATAGTACCTACAGTCTATGCAGTGGTGTATTTCAGTTGTATACACTAACATCATTTGTCATAAAAGAGTGAAGCCTGTAACTCTCCTTCCTAAATATGCTTGTTCCTCTTTGTCTTCTTGCAGACTTTGTCAAAAACAAGTTTATGCTGGCTGAGTGTGTCAGAATATATGTAAGGGCTTGTATTGGATCAGTAACTAAATTTGGCTTCTGTTCTCTAAAAAATTAAAAGCTACGTGTAGAATAATTGTGAGGCTAGAAATTTAAGGTTCTTAAATACATTTTGTTTTCATTCCAGCTAAACCCACAACTCGGCCTTCCTCTCCTACACCTACTCCCTCAGTTGTCACATCAGGTAACTGGGGGCTTTATAAACTACCAGTGATGCAGTGTGTTCCTTGAACTGCTGCTAGGGTCCAGTTGGACTCTTGGATACTCGGGACTAAAGCAGCTTCTGGCATAGAACACCAAGGCAGTGGTTGGCTCCTGACGGTTTACAGGGGTCCTTTTCTGTTATGTGTGGTCACTTTTGGCCTGGTCCTTTAGACGCAGTAAGAGTGTTTTCTTTAAAACCCTTCTGTACTCAGATGCTAAATCTGATTTGTGACTACCAGTTATTCAGAAGGAGTGGTACCATTAACAGTTTTGGTGAAAGGAAAACTGTTGTTTTTAATTAGACCAATCTGAAAAGCCAAGATTTGCACTTCCTCCTTTTTCAAGTTGTTCATTTTCTTAGACTTGCTTGGCTTCAAGGACTCTTCTACCCTGTTTGTTGTGGCTTCCTGCTTGTGCTGCTTCGCAGTGTCAGAGAAGCCGCTGTGTTCTCACACACACCCGAAGGATACAAATTACTTACAGTGAATATTTTAAAATATTCTTATTATTTATGTACATGTGTTATATGTCTGTATATGTGTATGTGTCCGAGGTTAGGGACATCCCCTAACCTCAAATTACAAGCTGGAATTACAACCAGTTATAAGCAGCCTGATGTGGGTGCTGGGAGTTGAACTTGGGCCCTCTGCAAGAACAATATGTGCCCTTACCGACTAAGCCATCTGGCCAGTCCAAATATTGTCCTTGTGTGAAGTGTTTAGTGCCTAGAACTTGCTTCTGTGCTGGCTAAGCTCCACTCCTGGCTAATATTAAAGTTGGTCACCTTACCAAAGCCTCCGGAGCCTACAGTTGATGGTCTGCTCAAGAATGCATTAGGATCTAGTTTAACAGTGAAGCGGACTTTATTTAGATGGTGTACACAGTCATAGCCTTTTTGTTTCTTACTGAAACATTTTACTTCCTTAATAATTTTAGTTTTCATGTTCTATTTCTTCTGACTTACTAATACTGTTCCATAAAACAGAATTAAACTGACATTACTTTTAGGTCCTTATGAGTTGTTTGTAGAAATTCTACTCTTCATATTTGTTCCCTTATGGCTACATAATGCTTTCTCATGCTGCAAAATAAATTAGCAGAGTGCTGTTGAATATATTTACAACTATGTGTTATTTTGTTTGTTGAAATTATAGATTATTACTTTTGTTAACTTGAAAAATAGCAACTCAATTTTTATACACCTTGTCTAGCTAGTAAAACCAAAAAGTTTTTAACAAACATTTATTTCAATAGTAACCAAAATAGATTCACAAAATGATTGCATGTTTTAGAAGTACTTGATAAATTTCCAAGGACACAGTTTCTATGCCATAAAAGCTCTGACCTATTTGAGACTTGCTAGCAGATTATCCACACTGTATCCTGGACAGAGTGATGAACGGCATTCTGGCTTAAGTGGAGATAAATTCTAGTTATAAAGACGTGACTCGGGAAGACCTGCATAGAATTTAACTCAGGGCACAGTTGATGCCTGGGTGGGTCTGGAAATGATCAATACCATGACACTTACTGAAGATTCTCTGTTTATCATCATAGCAGGTACAGCAAATACCACTCTGACTCCAACCTCACAGCCCGAGCGGAAGTCTACCTTTGATGCAGCCAGCTTCATTGGAGGAATCGTCCTTGTCTTGGGTGTACAGGCTGTAATTTTCTTTCTCTATAAATTCTGCAAATCTAAAGAACGAAATTACCATACTCTGTAAACAGACCCATTAAATTAATGTGGACTGGCGGTTAACTTGTGTAACTCACTGAAACCAAAATATTCAAGAAGTCCCACATGGAAGGCGCTGTTCCAGGATCTTTTCATTTCCAGAGGATTCATACAGGATATTTTGGAGCATCATCCTTGAAGAAAAGTCAGTTAAACTATTTTGCTCAACAGGAATATTTAAAATATTCTGCATGAATCCGTGTGGCTGTCGTCTTTTGTTTAAAATGGCTGCTGCTGTGGGACTGTGTTCTTTTCCTCTGACATGCCAAATGTAACTTCCTGTGAGTTATGGAAAGTGCTGTCCTGTTCAGGCAGCTTCTGACTCTGCAGTTTAAATGTAGTCCCCTAGAATCCTAAAGTCTGTTACTTTCATCCTAACTCCAGATGTAACTTAGTGGCCAGAATCGAGAAGAGTGCCAAATGGCCAGACAGGTTGAGGGCCATCACTTTAAATATAGGTTAAATTTATTTAGTACTAAACTATCCCTAGAGTAAAATTTTGTGCTTGATAAGTTGTATTTTATATATTAGAAATAAGATGCCACATGGCATCCCAGATTTAGAATAAAGAAAGGATATGCAACAGGTCTTGTTCACACTCATAAAGTATACCGTATTAAGAAATCAGAACAGTGCCTTAAGACAGACCAAGACGGCGGCGAACAGAAAATGTGTTCACACTGTGGGAGGCAAAGCTTGGTCTGAGAATGTAACTGTCAGTGTGAGCAGCAGAAACCTGCTACTGGATAACATACTATTAATACTTAAACATTGTTTTCTCCAGAGCTGAGAAATAGAAGCTAAAGAATAATTAAAGCTGAAAGGCTTCCTTATATCAAACCATCTAATGTTTTTCTTAGGGCTGCTGAATAGACATAAAATCAATTTATCTTTCTGTACACAAAGTATCCAAATATTATTATACCTTAAGGATTCCTGTCAGGTTTTCCTGAGAAGTAGCTTTTACATGAGGCAAGAAGGAAGTAGCTGTGGATGGAATCATTTTCTAGTTCTTTAAATGAGACAATCACTTTGTTTCTAATAGGTGTGACCTGTGTAATTTAGAAGCCCTGAGGGTTTGAAAGAGATTGCTCTAGATTTCCAGTGGTGATGCCCTGCCGTCTCTTTCTTTGGCCTTCTTTTACCCCTCCTTGGTCTCAGTTCCCGTGTGCTGTAATCATGCTTACTTTCACTTCAGTAGCTTCTGAAAAGCACTCAGTGTTGGAGTTCTCCCTTGCCTCTGACAGACTGCACTAGTCTAGAGGCTGTAATTGGAAATAGGCTTTTGGTTTCCTACGTCATTCAAGTTTTTTTGCTTTTGTTTCTTTAGAGTAACCGGTTAGCACTTGGTTCCCAGGGTTTAGCTTACGAATGGCAGATGGAGGCAGGTTGGTTCATAAAGCGAAACTAAGAGAGTTTCTATTTCTTTTGTCACTTGCCGGTACAGCTAAAGTTGTTTTACTTGCACATTTGTACATATATCTAATGTTTTCAAGTGCCTTACTCGTTTAAACTCTGGCTTCAAAGGTTTGGGGGGAAAGATAGGTTTACCTCACAGTTGTGTTTCCATTGTAATTTCTAGGTTCCTCACAAAAATCTATTTCAATGCTGTGGCTGTTAGTTTTAAGTGAGTGCTAACGTTCTTTTGAAAGTAGACAATTTCCATTCCTTACAAAGGTGGCAGAGTTGGTTTAATGTCCTTTACCTCCATGTGACCCCTTGCCCATATAAATGTCAGCATATGTAGCAAGTTTTACGAGAATGTAATTTCATTTGAAGCTCCTGTAATTTTGAGCGCTGCTCTAACGTTGTAGGAAGTTAGTGACACTTTGCAAGTCTCTACGTAAGCTCTTACCACAAAATTCCCAGCTACCCTGACTCTTATCCATCTTTGTTTTGCAAGGTAGTATTTTGAGCCATTAATGATTTTGGGTTTTTTAATCCAGAAGGTATATAGAAACCTTTTCAGAGTTTTCATCTGATTGTCCTGAGGATCTAGTTCTATCAGATACCTTACTTACCTTTGCTATACTTGCTGCACAAGCAGACACTGCTGTACTTAGAAATTTCTATTTGAGTTCATAAAAAACTACAAAACTAATATGTATGTGTACCAAACTGAGTTAAAATAAATGTTTATTAGTCTCTTGATCAAAAGTGTCATATTTTGATTACAAAATTAACATTGTATTTGCCTTCCCTGTCCATTTGAGGCTGGATTGTCTGCTGTTTCTGGGAACTGATGTAGACGGGAACTGATGGCTGTGGATTAGTCAGTGGAGAACAACCATAGCAATATGGAAGCTGGGCTGATGAAGGGACACGCGCCCAGCTCACGTTAACCTACAGAGACAGACAGACAGACAGACAGGAGAGACAGAGAGGCAGAGTCATAGGACTACTTTTGTGGAGCCTGTGGTTCTTTCAGCTTTGTGGGTCCCAAGGATTGAGCACAGGTTGTAGGACAAGTACCTTTTTCCACTGAGCCATCTTGCCGGCCACATCCTACCCTTTAGTTCAGAGTACATATGCAGTTAAACTTTGCTTCTGTTTAAAGTGTCGAGCCACATGCTGCCATATGAAGAAGAAGTCTGGTTTTGTTGGACAATGTGCTGAACCGTCTATATTTTATTACTTGAGTTACACTAAAGTTATTCACTGCTCCCCTGCAAGTCTGGATGTAAGGTTAGAGTCAGTGATTTGCCTTAGAATTGAGGCCTCTTGTTCCCCGTTAGCCTTAGCATTTGGTAATTACATAAAGCTTTATAGCTGGCCAGGCGGTGGTGGCGCACGCCTTTAATCCCAGACTTGGGAGGCAGAGGCAGGCGGATTTCTGAGTTTGAGGCCAGCCTGGTCTACAGAGTGAGTTCCAGGACAGAGAAACCCTGTCTCAGAAAAACCAAAAAAAAAAAAGAAAGCAAGCTTTATAGCTAGCTTCTTAAAACATTGGCACAGATAATTGAGTAAGTGGTAGAGGGTGGAATAGGGTTTATGTTCTCCCCACTCCCCGTACTTGTTGTAGATAGATACTCCTTGGGTACTTGAAGGGTGTGTGTTAGCACTTTTAAATTCAATAGTGTTGAGGCTCTTGTTAGTGTGCCTCGTGGTGAATCCAGCCTTTGTATATCTTGCCTCCTGACGACCTCATTTGTATTTTTTTTTTCAATGCAAAAACCATTGCATTCATAGTACATCATTGATAGTAAATCACTTTTTTTAAAAAAATCTTGAATATGCAATCTAAGGTTCCTATTTTTTTCTCCATACGTATCTGTAAACTTTGGTACATTGTGTCTTTTGTGTTCTGTAGCAAATCTGTTAACATCTCTTGTTCTATACATGTTTCCCTCTGCTACTGATTTTAAGCAAATTGTCTATTTCGGACTGTGTTGTAGTTTTCCTTGTTTTGTGTGTTTTTAGATCTATTAAGGTGGTGTATCTCTGGCTTTCATATTTGGAAGATTTCCAGCTTTCGGTGGTAGGTCTACACCCTCTGCCTTGATGGAGATTATAGTTTTATAGAGGTTGCTAGAAATTGATCCACAGTCCCATTGTATTTTTATATGAAATTAATTAAAATTCTTCCCCCCGCCCCCTTGAATTCTATAGTGTTTTCTGATATGTCTGTAGTTGATGTAATATGTTGGTGTCTTTCTTTACATAGTTGTTTTTGTGGTTGTATGTATATGCTTGTGTTTAATTAGAGTAGTAATTTTTAATGTCTGCCTAGCATTGCTGTGTCAACATTTAGCATTTACTTTACATTGAATTCTTTACCCACACTCTAGGAGGTAGTTTCTGGTTTTGATGCATGTTTGGTAAGTTTTTATTGAGTGCCAGATAGATACAAGCTGGGGAGGTGCAGGATGTTCATGTATTCCCATTGTCATTGTTTTTCTGAAGCATGGTAAGTGTCGCTTCAGCTCTTTGGTCCACTGTCAAGGAAACTTAATCAGCTTCCTGTGTCTCGATTGTCATCTCTGCCTCTTGAGTTCTGCCAGTCCTCTGATTTCTGTCTGGGCTTCCCAGCAATTAAGGACAGGAGGCTGGATCTTGTTTTACCTATTACTTGATATACTAAATGATTATGCAGGTACTGCAGCTGTCATCTAAAGGGAGTAAGTTTATTCTGGAGCCATTTTGAGTGTCCATGGTCCAGAGACAACAGATTTAGGCCACCCCAAATTCTGTGATCCAACACGGAAGCAGTTGGAGAAGCTTTACAGAATAAAGAAATTGATAATCGAGGCAAGTTTAAAATAGAGTGGTAGGTATGTTAGTGGAGCAGTTACAGTGAGACGGGGAAGCTTTTGTAGAGGCCCAAGATGTTATTTGATGACGTTCTTAGTTTCTAGATACCAAAAGGTTTTTTTTCTAGTCTCAGGATGTTCCAACACAGCAAGGAATGGCTGTTACAGGGTGTAGAACTAGCTTGACACAGGTAGTTAGCCTCTGAACCTGCAGCAGCCGGTCTCCACGGTACCCGTCCTCTGCAAATGGGGCTGCTTTTTAGGAGTTCTATCCATAGAAAACATTTTTCATGTTTTGTCTACTTTCTTCTGAATAAATGTAGTCTTTCTTTTGATGAAACACAAAAAAGAGAAGGTCCTCTTCTTATCTCACCACTTGGGAGGTAGAGGTGGGTCAGGAGTTCAAGACAGCCTCTCCAGCGACCTGAGCAGCCTCCACTACTTGAGATCCTGTCTCTTTAATATATATATATGGTTTAACTTTCAGCTATGGAAGCAGTACATAAAGACATGTATATTAATTTTGTTTTATTGCTGTGAACAAATAACTGGCAAAAGTAACTTAAAGAGGAAGGTTCTAGCTTCCACCTCGGAGTGGTAGGGAAGACTTGGCAGCAGGAACTGTAGTTATCAGTACTCCAGAAAGCAGAGAAGGAGTACTTGAACACATGAGATTTTCTTCCTTTTGGGGTAGTAGGAAGGTGGTGGCAGATTTGACAAGATTTCACAGGATTTCACTCTAGCTCTCGAATGGAACTCCCAAGATCTGTGCCTGCTTCTGCCTCGAGTGCTGGAATTCAGTGGGGTGGCGTGCACCACATTCCTGGATCCTCCTCTTTTTTCAAAGTACTTTTAAATGGATCTTCTCTCCTAATCTTTTTGTAGCTTCCTTGTAAGACCATGTCCCCAGAGGTATGTCTTTTAGGTAATTCTAAAGTCCAGTCAGCTTGTCACAAACTACTAAACATTAAACATCCCACCCTTGACCCTCATAAGCTCATGGTCGTCTCATAAAGTGAGTTCAGTCCAAGTACAGTGTTCCATTGTCTTAACACTATCAACATTTCTATATTGTGAAGTCTGCCCTCAGACCCTAAGCAGTCTCATTAACTATGAGCCAGTAGAATTAAACCATGTTACGTGCTTCTAGGACACAGTGGCACAGTAAATACTCAAAAAGGAGAAACGGAAGATTAGCAAGGATCATTGACTAAAGCAAAACAAATTCAGCGGGAGAAAAACTACAGCTTCATTCTCAGTATCTGGAGCTTCTGACGACATCCGGGCTTCAGTGGATTTGAGTAGCCCTGCCTCTCAGTTCTGTCAGCTGCAGTATGCATAGCCTCTTTTGGCCCAGCTCCATACCTGTAGCTTTCCCTGGTGCGTGTCTTGGTGTCTTCTGCTGCGAGACTTCCTGGGGAGATGTGAACAAAGATCTACTCAGATGGTACTGATTACACCAAAGTTCAATTTGGAGAAGCAGTAGATTTGCGGGTTATTATGAGAGTGTAGACTCAAAGGCAGCTGCATCGATGAACAATCCACCTGCTTAGATGCTGACTCAAAAGCTGCCATCCCAGAGTTCTCTATGATTTGCAGAGAATTGACAATTTTGAGAGCCTCTTCTTCTCAACAGTACTGCTTACAACCTTGGTCAGGATTAGGTGAGATGTGAATTGTTTAAGGAACTCACTGAGACTTGTGAGTTATTTCCTGGTTCCTTAGGAGCTTCCCTGTAGTGAGTGGTTCCCTAATGCTGCGACCCTTTCAGACAGTTCCTCATGTGGTGACATCCAACCATAAATTTTTTTTTTTTTTTTTTTTTTTTTTTGGTTTTTTCGAGACAGGGTTTCTCTGTATAGCCTGGGCTGTCCTGGAACTCACTCTGTAGACCAGGCTAGCCTCGAACTCAGAAATCCGCCTGCCTCTGCCTCCCAAGTTCTGGGATTAAAGGCGTGCGCTACCACTGCCTGGCCAACCATAAAATTTTATTGCTACTTTATAAATATAATTTTGCTACGATTAGGAATCATAATGTAGGGCTGGAGAGATGGCTCAGTGGTTAAGAGCACTGACTGCACTTCCAGAGGTCCTGAGTTCAAATCCCAGCAACCACATGGTGGCTCACAACCATCTGTAATGAGATCTGATGCCCTCATATGGGTGTCTGAAGACAGCTACAGTGTACTCATATATAATAAATAAATAAATCTTTTAAAAAAAAAAAAAAAAGGAATCATAATGTAGATATCTCCTAGGCAGGATATCTGATACATGACTCCTCTGAAAGGGTGATTTGACTCCCAAAGGAGTCACAACCCACAGGTTGAGAACTGCTGCTCTAGGGTGAAACAGATCAAGCTAGAACTTCTTGTGTCTTAGCGAGACTCATTCTATCAATGAGATGTTTTAACTCAGAGGAAATGGCTGTATAGTGGAGTCATGTCCTACTTAACTGTCAACCTGACACAGCCTAGAGTCGCCTGAGTAGGGAATCTCAACTGAGGGATTGTCTAAATTGGTATAGGAGATCCCAGCCCACTGTGGGCAGCACCATTCCCTGGGCAGATGGTCCTGACTCTATAAGAAATCCAAGTAATCATGAACCTGTGAGCAAACAAAGCAATATTCTTCCATGGTTTATATGTCAGGCTCATGCCTTTACTTTTCTTAATGATGGGACATGACCTGGAAGTTGTAAGTAAAATCTTCTCTCCCAAGTTGCTTTTGTTATTTTATCTCAGTAACAGGAAAATAGAACATGTCTCTGTTGCAACTTCTCCTTTACAGTTTCACACAGTGGCTTCTCAGGCTGTTTGCTGGTAATCTGACCTTCACATGCAGTGCCTCCATGGCTTCCCTGAACACTGGGATGGGCCTTTATGACCGTATAACTTGCAT